GCGCTTTCCGGCGCCGCTGCAGGGCCTTGTGGATGGCGGGCGGGTCGGTGGGCAGGTTGGCCAGCTGGTGGAAGACACTGCGCTTCCGGATGATGGCATAGACCAGGTTGGAGTTGCCTGTGGGGAAGGAGCGCCATCTCACAAGAGGAAGCTGAGGCTCAGAGAGGTTATGCACCCACAGCCAAGGGCCAAGGGCCAAGGCCCTAATTTACACCAGGCAGCCCGGCACCTGTGACACCCATCCAGGTCGTGCCAGTCAGAACGTCCCTCTCCCCAGAGTAAGATGATCTGTCCGTGTGGCCATCTGTTTAGAGCCGCCCTCCCCCTCCATCCCGGCTGTGAACCCCACGGGGCAGGGAGCAATCTGCTTGGTTCTCCACCGCGTCCCCCGCACCCAGCACAGGGCTGGGTACACAGCAGGTGCTCAATAAATGCACGTTGGACAAACCGGGGGTGGTGGGGGGAGCAGAGGACTGTTACCCCCTTAGACAGGAAGGTATCCTCGCCCACGGCCCACCCCCCTCCTGCCCCCAGGCCTCACCGTCGAACTGGTACTGGATGATGTTGTTGAAGACCTCCAGCAGGAAGAAGACCAGGTGGTGGTTCTGGGCGGCCGAGAAGAGGAACCAGGTGGTGGAGAAGGCCTCCAGCAGGTGCAGCAGCTTGTTGGCCGCCACCATGGACAGGCTCTTGAGGTAGGGGGACACTGCAGGGAGGGCTGGGCTTACCCCTGGGCCCCACCAGCCGCCCGGGCACGTCCTGGGTCTGAGCAGGACAAGGTGCTCCTGCTCCCAAGCCCTCCCCGCCCCCCGCCTGCAAAGCCCCTGAAAAGCCAGGAAGAGGACACCCCCAGAGGCCCAGGCCACCCCGGCCGTGACTTCTGCAGAGCCCCAGGGAGCAGTTTAGCTCAGCCCTTGTCCCTCCATCCTGTGGACAGCTGTCCTGTTTACAAAGCCACTCACACGCGCCATCCCGCCCACTCCTCCCCACACCCCTGAGCGGGAGGTGGGACACAGACGAGACCATCCCCATTTTACAGATGGGGACACTGAGGCTCAGAGAGGTACGTAAACTTGCCGAAGTTCCCCAGTTGTAAAATGATTGGACAGGAATACAAACTCAGGACCGTTAGGTCTTGCTAGCACATCAAAGTGATATTCTCCACAGAATTAAACACATATTTGTGGCATAGCCTGTGAGGGGGGTCAGATGATAGAAAAGCCCTTGCATTTCTATCCAAGGGAGTGGCGGGCAAGCCAGCCTGTGGCCCAGCGCCACCTAGCGGTGAGCAGCGGGAAAGCGGGTTCCGGGCCCCCTACCGTTCACCACGATGGTGAGCAGGCAATCGAAGAGGGGCTGCAGCCGCTGGTGCCCACTGGTGATGATCTTATGGAATACCTGTGCGGGGGGGAGCAGAGGGGCGGCCATGGGGTCCCCTCTGCCTCCAAACTCAGCCCAGAGGACACCGCCCCCATGCACCCAGGGGCCCGCTTACCACAATGAGCAGGTCAGCATGGGTCCCCGTGAAGACCGGAATGTCCATGGGCACGCGCACTGAGTAGGGCTTATTCAGCCGCACCCCGAAGTTCCGCTCCCCGCTCAGAAGCAGCAAGATGAAGACGCCAATGTGCATCAGGCCCACCCGAGCTGTGACAGGTGGCGTGGGAGGGGTCACCAACAGGGTGGGGAGGGGAGGAAGGGAGCCAAGGGGCGGGGACCATCCTGGGGGGGTCTGAGCTCCTGGGAGATGGACGGACTGGCCGGACCACCCCTCTTCAAGGACCCCTCCCATCCTGTGCCCCTCCCATCCTATGCACACCCCTCCTTACACTGATCTGCTCGGGCATCGTTGAGGAAGTAGAGGATGGGGACCAGGATGTCCAGCACATCGCTGCTCTTCAGCACAAAGAAGAGGAATTTCTGGGGGAGGGAGGAGGGGACAGGCAGGCAGGGTCAGAGGGAGGGGCAGCTCCGCCCACCCTTTCCCCCTCCTGGGAGTCTCCCCAGACACTGTGCCCATCCCCGGCCTGGCCCGAGTAGCCGCTCCTCAGGAGGGCGGACCGCTGCCCGCAGGCTGGCCCTGCAGCCGGCCCACCTTGTTGAAGTCGCAGAGCTTCCAGAAGAGGACCAGCAGCTCCTGGTGGAACTGGATCTTCTTGGTGGAGTTGGGCAGGTAGGTCTGGAGCAGGGGGTTGGACAGCAGCCGGGCTATGCCCTTGAGGATGAACTGGAAGTCCTGGGAGGGGGAGCAGGGGCCCGTCTAGTCCGGCTCCCTACAAAGGCCTCTCTCTCCCCCAGAGCCTGGCCCCACCCGAGAGCCCGAGGGGCCCAGATTCCAGCGTCGTCAATGGCTGTCCTGGGTGAGCCCCTCAGGAAGCCGAGTCCAAGGCTGGCCTGGAGGGGCCCTTCCCTTCCGCCAAGAGGGGTCATTCACTGAGCACCTACTACCCGCTGGGCTGGGCTGTGCTCTCACTCAATCCTCACAACAAGGCCAGGGAATAGCTCCGGGCCCCATGTTACAGCTGCAGAGGGCAGGGCTTTGGGATCACATCAGACACAGGACTTGGGTCTGCCTGGCCTTTAGGCCACTGCATTCCCTTCCCTTGACCTTTGAGAAACTTGCCATCACAGCCACCTCCTCCTGGAAGCCCTCCCAGTTACCCTCACCCGGTTGAGGCCACTGGCCCCTTTCTGCAGATTGAAACCCTCACAGCCCTACAGTCACTATTTCACTGCAGTGGCCAGGGACCATGGGGACTATGGTTCCTTTAGGTAGGGGTCAGGACTCCCCCAGCCCCATCTCACTGCGCCCCCTACCCCCTGCAAGGCCAGGACCCTGTGGGGTGGGCATCGAAACCGCCCCGAGCAAGAGCAGCGCTAGACTTACCTCCTCGCGATGGATGCGGGACAGGTAGTTCACAAACAGGTTCTCGGGCCCTGGAGGCTGCTGAGGGTGGAGCTGGGGTGAACAGGTGCCCCCACCCTCTGCCCCCACCCCAGGCCTCGGCAGCTGGGCCCCCTCGACCCCCAGGCTCACCACAAGGTGCCCACTGGGTATCCCTCGCCCAGCTCTGCTAGGGGGGGTGCCACCTGGCCAGAGGCCCCGCCCTCCCTCCCCGGTTCTTACGTCGACGTCGTCCATGGCCGTGCCGGTGGTGGTGCCGTCCACGGTGGGGCTGGCACTGGAGGCGCTGTCGTGGTCCAAGGTGACGATGAGCACCTGGGCGGCCTCCTCCACCAGGGGCTCCCGGTAGTCGGAGAAGAGCAGGTGGTTGTAGGGGATCCCGTAGCCCACAGGGTCATAGGCACACACGGTGTTGAGCAGGGAGGTGAAGAGGGGCAGGGCGTGTCTGCGGGGAGAGGAGCGAGGGGACTGCAGAGACCCCCCCAGGCCCAGCCCTCCTCCATCCCGACAGCCATCCCCTCCTTCAGCACGGGTTTCAGTGCCAGCTCTGGGCGGGGCCGGGCCGCAGAGCCGGAGCCAGGAGCTCGTCCCTTCCTGTAGAAGGAGCCCCCCTCGTCCCTGCCTGCCTCTGGGACCCGGACCCGCACTGGCTGGGCCTCGGCGGGAGGAATTTGCTCCCCAGAGTGGACGGCCGGTCAGGAGGGGCTCTGGGTAGGAAACCATGTCCACATCCCTCAGACTCCTCGCGCCAGGGTGAAGCCTGGTCTTTTTAAAATTATTATTTTTTATTTCAGAGAGGAAGGGAGAGGGGGAGATAGAAACATCAATGATGGGAGAGAGTCACTGATTGGCCGCCTCCACACCCCACAACACTG